AGGACTTCTTCAGGTTATATACGTTGGAAATTCGAACCGCACCCTTTATTTTCTCCACTGGGGTAGATTGTACTAGTTCCACGTGCCATGCCTTTTCTGGATATCTCAGTTTCAGTTATTTCTCTTTAGTGACTGAACTCTCCAAGGTATTATTCACCTCTCCCTTGGCCAAGTATTGAACTCACAACTCTTTGGGTCAAGTGATTGGATTACTTCAACCAACGAATTTATACAATGGGCCATGAGTCCTTGGGAAAATAAAGGGTTCAGTTCGTAATTCCAACGTATATCTCCTGAACAACGCCGGAGCGTACAACGGTCGAAACGTCATGAATACGACAATAAAAATGAGGACAATAGTCTGAACAAATCAAATAGTGTAAACAGTTACAATGCCTCATCTCATAAATATAGACAGATATAAATTTTTTTTCTAAAATATTCATTTTAATCCTAATGAGATAATGGCTTTTACTTAATACTGTGTCAAGTTTCAGTAATAACAAGATGGCATGTCTTTTGATTTTGTGTTCTGAAACATCATCCAATTTTAGGAAGCAGCAAAATAAAATTTAAATTAAGCAATTTAACTGCAACAGTTTTGAGTGATTTACGAAATTATTTAACATTCCGTTTGCAGCAGTTAAAACTTACTGTTTACTTATGTAAATGACTGCCTAATTAGCATTGCTAAATCGTAGACTATATAAATACACAAGCAGTAAAATTAGAGTTGCTTTCTTTATGCTATTATTGTTTGCCGACCAGCAGAGTGGTTCGCTCCTCTGTCATTAATATTCGCTCAAGCCCCGAGAAGCCCAACCCCCAGGCAGTAGCTAGGTTTACTGCCCGGTGCCTAAGTCGTCTCCAAAATAGGAAAGTTCCGAGTGAGATTGGAAAATTTTTGTGTGATATTGCCGTTAAACTCATTTAACCGCGATATTGTGTCACATTCGGTTGCGACCTTGGTGCACTAACACATCAAGCTCTCGGTATGCGAGATAAAGGAATACTGCTGGACTCATAAAATACGAAGTAAAACACATTTCATATCACTTAGACCTGTTTCATTCAAATTATTAAGATAAGATATTATTGTACGATTCCAACATTTACGTTCTTACTTTGAAAGAGCAGAAGTGCATGTGATTTTTAAAACTTAATAGGTATTTATTCAATCAAATTCTCTCTCTCTCTCGATTTTAACACGACGTACTAACAGTTCATTTTGCGAGCAATGTAATATTGAAGAGGTAGTCGAAATCTATAAGCTTATATATATATATATATATATATATATATATATATATATATATATATATATATATATATATCTGGCAACTCGTATTCTACTATTCTACCGTTCAACTAGCCAACCCCTATTGCAGACGCTTGCTCAGGCGTATTTGTGTTTATTCGACAGCCACAGAGCTCACCTGTGGTTTATACTGCAATAATGATGAGCAGACCTTAGTTACCTGTTTCTGAGAAAGAGCGTATTATCTAGCGTGATCAACAATTTGAACAAGGCCTGCACGCTCAAGCCCTAGATCACAATGACTTGTGACTTCGTTCTAGCATTGCTATGGACTGCACCCAAGAAGACTTCCGTCTATCTAATTTTACTCACAAGGCTTGGGTCAACACGTGCTATGGTTTTTCAGACACTTCCCAAAGCTGCCGCACGTTGGGATCGATCCCTCCATTTCAATAACATAAGGAAGTCTCCTTCCTGACAAATCGAACCCAGAGGCTCATTGTCAGAATGCGAATGTTCTAACCACTCGGTGACGTGCCCAATAGACAGGTAAGTGTGTTCAATTCCTACATCCGGTAGTGAGTATTCACTCGTAATCGGAACATAAAATGTTATTTTCAAAAGACAATTTTGAAGTTCTACTACAAATGTTTACTGTATTTCTTTCAATGTCTGAGCTGATGTATATTATAACTTTTGTTTTATTTCTTACTAGCCTGTCAACATTTGGAATGTAAAGTGTTTATATATCATAAGATCATTCTAGGAAAAATAAATTGATATCATTCACTTTACGAGTATGAGTCCACTTCAGTTCTAACTTCATCTATTTTTACGACTAATGGAAAATAACCTTTTTCTTTTGTCCGAAAACAAAACTCGTTCTCCGTGTTATTTGAACGGCTGAAACGGTAAGGCGGCCTTCGACGAATTCACACGGACAGAGCTGATAACTTTATGGATTGAAACAAATCCAGACGTCTTTATAGCTACTCAAGTTTATATTTCAACCACCTCGAGTGTATATTGGCTCTCTCAGCACTCGAGACATTTGTTCTTTGTGTTCGTTCAATGAACAGAAATCATGACGCCTCAGTATTCAAATATAATTCCTTTGGGGCTGGCTGCAATACTGAGATGTTTCAGTGACACATCATTGAAAAGCTGCAATGACGTATCTTTACGAAAACTGATAAATCTGCTTTGTGAGTAGTGAAAGCTGTATTATTACCCTTGGGAGATGATGACTGCTTCCTGTAGTCAAATAATTGCATTCAACAACCTGATCCACTTATTTTTTTCTTTTCGCTATTTTTTCTTTAATTTCTTTTCTTTTTTTTTCTGTCGTGTAAAAACATATTCACTTTGGACCTTGCAGTTAAAACCCACGGACCATTAACACAAAACTCAGAGAATCTTCTAAATACAATCCTTGAAAAATGATACTTGATTAAAAAGTCTTAGGTTCTGGATACAGAGTTCTTAGGTTCAAACCTTTTTACTTCTAATTATTGTATATTCAACAAGAGCAGACCAACTAAAAGCTTCCTTGTATATACTAGTTAAAAAAGATTTTAGATATTTTGTAAGTCTTGAAAACCAGTCGTAAGGAAAATTGATGCAATTTTCGTAACAGAAATTCTCCCATAGAGATATTCATTCGGATATTTACATTATTAAGAGATCTTGAGCAATAATTATATTATTAACATTCGGATTATTGCCCGTATTTATTTTGCTATTAGCACAATGTTTTGGCCGCTGTTTTCTCCGAACTTTCTCTGGGGCTGTTTGATCAATGTAATTTTTAAGGAATTTTTACCTGAAGCCTTTATTTAATCTACGGATATATATTGTTTTCGTTACGGCATCCATATCTCGTTTGTTATTATTTAGTGATGTTCAGTTATTGCTCGCCCTGTTTCTAATGAAATCTGGCCTAGTAATTGAATTACAAATACTATGGCGCCAAATTAACCCCGTAGATAATAGACAGGGTTCAGTTCCAAATTCCCTGAAAGTTATACAATTTGACAAACACCTGAAGTACACTGCAAAGCACAACGACTGAAACGATGCCATAATAACAACCAAGATACGGACAATGACCCGACTATAAATAATGTACACAATGATAATTCTTCCTCAGAGAAATTCAGGCACGTTATGAGCGTGTAATATGTAAGCGACTTACACAGCAAATTAAATTACAGGCTGATGATTTTTGTCAAAAAATAATATCAAAGCATTACTAAACAGATTCCGCCTACTTGCGATCTCTAACTTCTTCCAAGGCTAAAATCGACATCGGAAGATATGATTTCAGAGAATGAACGCGATTAAACATGACGTAGAATTCGAAAAAAGCAACGGAAGAGGATTTTATAGACGGTTTTTAAAAGGGAAAAGTACACCGTCCGATCCCAGGTGAACAATTTGAAAAAATCTACAAGACAATTTTAATATACTGGTTTTGTTATTAAATTTCAGGATCATTTACGATGGTTTATTGATACAAGTCTTAATATTTAACCTATGATTAAAGAGTTGATATGTTGCTTTTCCAAATGCTTCTCAAAAAGAAACTGCTCTCTTTTACAAACCACAGATAACCCTCCCTGCCTCAGAATGGCTGATTCCCAACTCCTCGATAGGGCCTCTCTACGCCTGCTTGGTCTCACGCTGTCCGCTGACATGAGGTGGAATAAATACATTGAACCAATAGCTTCATCTACTACAAGGAAAATGGCTTCTCTTTGTCGTGCCAGAAAGTTTTTCTCGTCTGAGCCCGTCCTTCCAAACTATAAATCAACCATCCGTCCATGCATGGAATATTGCTGTCATATATGGTCTGGTGACCTCGCTGTACGTCTCGAGGTCATCGACAAAATCCAGAGACGAATATGCAGGTTCTGATCAGGCTTCTCTTCTACAGTGACTTTCTCACAGGCGTGCCATGGCTTCCCTCTGTCTCTTCTAGAAGTATTTTCACGGCGACTGTTCAGACGATTTGCTTTCGCTAGTTCTCAGATTGCAGGAATTTAAGCCCGCTACTACGTTGGCATCTCGGTCCAACCTTTTCACTGTCGAAACGGTTAAATGTAACCGTCTCTTCTACTCAAACAATTTCTCTTGCACTTCCCGTCTGTGGAACTCCCTTCCCCTTGCTTGCGTCTCCGGTAACTATAATCTTCAAATATTAAAATATAATGCCAATCGACATCTGATACCTTGATCTTGTTCCCCGACCTTCTGTTTCCTTTTCACAAACACGCCTCTTTACTCTTCTTCTCTTCCATCTGTAACCCCTTAGGTGCTAGTGGCACTCCTTCTTTGCTTGGGGTGAATTACTTTAAAAACAATGATAATCTTATCATTCACCTTTACATAGATTTATTTGAGAAATGACTAAATCGGAAAATTATATTAAGCTATTTTCGGAGTTAGAACAACCTATTTGTTAACCCTATTCCTAGACCAAAAAAGAAGAGTTTTTACATCTTGATTGGTATTATTCAAAAACCTTTGTTCAGATAGTAAGATTTTTTTATTTATTTTGGAATTAGTAATAATACACATGTTGGTAATTAATCCATAGCAGGAGGGGAGGTTGTAGATTTATAACTTTCCACAGGGATATTTACGCGTAAGCGTAAATAACGAACCCAACGGGAATTTGAACTTGACTTTACGATTAACAACTTAAAGGTATTACCCATTACAGCACCCGCTCATCTAAACTTACATCACCATTGTATTCCCAAATGGTTACACCTCTAGGTACTTACCAGGCTCAACATTGCTTAACTTCGGTGATCGTACGGGAACAGTTGTTTCAACGTGATGTGCCCTGTTACTAAACAAAGACACTACTGCGGCTATTTAAAGGTCTCTTAAAAGGTTATCTGAAGTATTATGTTATAGTTATTTAATATCAACTCAACTATTACATTGTTTGAGTATTTCAGAATTGAATGTCATGATGAACCAACTACAAATCATACGTAAAATTTAAGAGATAATTTTGTGTACACTATCATACCTTAGTTTTTGCACGACATTGGTGGTATACACCGTGGATAAAAGGGAAAATAGTCTTCTCCAGGACAGCGTTGTGCCGCATACAGTAAGAATAACGTATGAAATAAATTGGAAACTTGATCTGTTTTATGCCGTCCAACTTCAATTTGCATCAAACGATTACTGCCTTTTTCGATTGCTGAAAACATTTTGAAGGGGAAAACGTTCTCTAAAGAAAACCAGATTCAAGAGTTCGTCGAAAACTCATCAAACCCTGCGGAAGTTTGCCGGAAGAACTGACTGATAATTGACAAGATACCATTTATAATAATGGTCTATATATAGTTGAACATAATGTAATTGTTATTTTTTTTATTTATTAATGGATATAATTGATAAAGAAAAATATCGGAAATTATTTTTGGCTCAATAATTTGTATTAAGTTCAAATATAAATATTACAACAGCTAGACTATGAAAACTTTAGAAATAAGGCATCTACAATATAGTATTTTCACGCGTGAACTGGTTATGGTCTTTAAGAAAGGAATCTATTTGTATTCTGTTTAATGCCAAAAAACATATTTATAATGCTTTATATAAAACGTACAATGCATTCATGGAATTGTCTCAATAAGTTTCTAATGCACATAGACAAAAACTCCGATGTTTGCTCAACTTTGCCAACTCTGTATTTATTTCTTTAGTTTATACGTTGGAAATATTTTTTTCTATTCTTATTCAGCATTTGCCGACTAATACTCGCAGTTTCTTGAGTATTTCGTTCGATAGACACAATGATGCAAGAACAAGAATTGTCAACGTTGATTGTACAAGACTTCCTTTGCCAACATGATTGGAATTGTCTCCAGAATTATCGATCCACTCATATCTTTTTCTCCTTTCTTTTATTGATAATTTGGATATTCGTCTTCTTGCAGAAACGAACCCTTAGTTTACTTATTGGTTAGAATGTCAGAACATGATCAAATAAAATGCCTGACTGCTTAATAAAGATCTTCAAAACTACAACTTCCTAGAAGCTGTCTCCAATTTATTGATTTACAGATTAACCATTCTAGAAAAATTAAGTATTTGCAATAAAGTATATTAATATTTAGTTTATATACAATTGAATCAATCTCAAATTGTCTTTGAGCGAGTGAAGCATGTAAGTCTCAGAAGGGATCTATTTGGATGCCGTGTACTGGCACTACAGAATGGCGTACAAAGAAATTTACCACAAAACAGAAACCGGATAAATTCAAGACTTTAAACAACAGTGACTACTAAAATGGATAGCACATGTAATTCGAAGAGTAAATAATGACGTGTTGACGTTCCTTGTTCAAACTTTTTTTAACACGAATATACTGCGGTTTTAAGGACTGCGTGTATTCCGCATCTAGTATTTTATTTTTAGTTGGCTTCATATTTTTTCAATTTCTCAACTAGATTATTTACACTATTTTGTGATGTTCAGTGGCTTCGCTTGTCACTTTTACTGTATCTAGCGAAAGCACGTTACACTTCTAAAAACGCTTGCTATTTTCGAGACTTCGTAGACGCCAGTACTAGTCGTTACGCCTTCCAATAATATCCCCACTAGAAATACTTGTTCAAGTAGTAGTCACCAAATAGTATAATGATCAGAAGAGAATCGTAATCAGTATAGTATTAGAATAGAGAGAATGAACGTATAGCAATAGTAAATAGACAAGAAGAGTGAACAGTGATCCTAATGATCGTATAGTCATCACACTACTTCCTATTTCTTCACTTTCTTTATGATCACATAATAATGGAATCGCCTGTGTTACTAACTGGCTATTTAATTTCAAACCACAGTGTCGGCAACGGCACTTACTTTTGACAACAATTGCTTACATTTTTCGGACTGCGATGATTGCAATATTCTAGTTGACAATATCTGTTTATATTTCTGAGATGAGGAATTGTAATTATTTACTCTATTTGCATTGTTCGGACTGTTGTCCTCATCTCTGTTGCTATATTCACAACCTTTCGACCGTTGTACGTTCCGGTCTTCTTCAGGTGATTGGAATTTCGAAATGAACCCTTTATTTCGTCGACCGGGGTAGATTATTCTATTTCGACGTAGCATGCATTTTCCAGATGTCTCAGTATCAGTTATCTCCTATTTTCCTTTTTTTTTTTTTTTTTTTGTTCACTTCCGTTGTAGCCAGGTATTGAACTCACAACTCTTTGGGTCAATTCACTGGATTCAATCTACGCTTTTATCCACTGTGCCATGTCTCCTTATGGTGTGAGTTCGGTACCTTGCTACAGCCAGGGTGGACAAAAACTTGGAGAGTTGAGTTAAAAGGGGGATAACTGATACTGAGATATCTGGAAGAGGCATGACACGTGGAACTAGAATAATCGATCCCGGTGGACAAAATAAAGGGTTCAGTTCGAAATTCCAATCACCTTATAAAGACCGGAACGAACAACGAAAGGTGGTGAATATAGCAACGAAGATGAGGACAGCAGTCCGATCAATTCAAATAGAGTAAATAATTACAATACCTCATCTCAGAAATATAGACAGATATTGTCAACTAGAATATCGCACTCTTCGAATTAACATATAATGTTAGTCATATAAATGTGATAAAAGACATAATTGGAACGGTATTGGTTAATTATTTGAAGTAACAGTTTTATGTTAACAGTTTACATTCCTATTATCAAATTTATTTAAACTACTTTGATTTTTTTTTCTTACAGTAGCGTTCACCCTATTGTAGATCCGCGGGTCACTCAGGTTAGACGGTCACAGAGTAAGTGTCATGACTTATGCTGATATGTGTGGAAGATAATGGTTATCACTAGACTGCTAAGAATGTATTGATCAAGGATGCAATCTCATGGTAGTCAGTATCACAAGATAGTGGTTCGTGGGAAGATGCTGTATGAGTGAAACTTACATCTCACCAGGGGAATATGAAAAGAACGGGGTGATTTGCTACAATGTGCGGAACATGTCGGGTCATGGTTAGAACTGATGGAACTAAGGAGTGTAGTTCATCTGAACACTCTCCGTGGAAACAGCGATAGACTAGCGACTTCAGAACATGACATGGACGGGACACTTTCCTTCCTATGGAATGAAGCGTCAATTATAGACAAAATACGATATCAAGCCAGCAAATTCATTAAAGTATAAACAAATGCATAAGGAAACCGAGTTAACACAATGACATCAAATGTGTCCCGAAAGATTAACTTAATATTTAGGGAATCAGCTATTCAATACTAAATTCATATTTTTAAATAAGCAGTACTCATAGTGGGCGGAAACTAATTCTCTGACTCATTGGGTGTCGAGTGTCTACAAACACAGACAGAATCGGTACCTCATCTTTCTTACAGAGGAATTTCTCAAAACAAAGTCAGATTCTCCATTGAATACTAGCTAGAGTACGAATGTAGCGGACAAGTTTGTAGATTTCTTTTATCTTCATTGCAAGACCAATATCAGGCTAACAGAATCATACGAGACGTCCGATCTCAGCAGAAGCACGCGGTAAAAAAGCAAGAATTACAATTTAAAATTCTCGTATCGAAGTCAACTAAATAAGTTTTTTTTCATTTTTTTTTTTGTATGATGTGAAATAGATTTATTTATTTGTTTTTTGGAACTGTCACAAATCAAAAACAAGTAGTGAAAAGAGAAAAGGTCTCGTTTTAAAATTCTCGGAGAGCCGTGATCTCGTCTGCTATCACACTATGATCAGTTAAACGAGAATTTAAAACTCGGCCTTCTGACTATCAGTTTTATACCTGAAAAGATTAATCAGGTTAACCCTCATTACAATTAAATACCTGGGAAAAAAACGAAAAATTTTCTTGTGTTATCACGTTACTGATTTAGCCAAATTAAAAATTAGCCAATCGTCAGAAAGCAACATTTTGAGGTACAACCGGGGAAAAATAGTCGTGGACGAAAATAACACTTTGCAAACCCTTGACTTTAACATGTCTCCAACTGACGTTAGAACAACAAATACTTTTTGCAGAAAATATCTCGCTTATTTATTTGTGTCGATCGAAAGAATTCCCCATTATTTTTGAAGCACGAAACACGAAGAGGCGAAGCTTAAGTAGTGGAATTCTAAACTTAACCTCAAGTGGTTGTGTTTCTGTCCCTTCTACATATTTTTCCTGTCCTTTCTGGTCTGTTCTTCCCAGATAAATAGCGTTCCCAATTTTCTCTTCTGTTAGTCTTCCTTCCTGTCAGTTTTATATCGGACGCCTTGTATATCGATTTGTGTTAAAAACAGCAAATATGAAAGTGAGTCTAAAAAACATCTTAGTGCTCTCTACTAGGATATAAGCGTGGCAGAGTGGTTATGGTCGCAGAAAATGGCGGGCTGTGAGCAAATTCCAGCCGAAGTCGTTACGTTAGCGTTCGCACAGATACACTTGGAAATTAATGGATGCATTTCTTCTCTGCGGAGTTAATTTGACTTGCTAGACGCTTGAGAACAATTCATCGAGAAGAATTAAAACAACTGTTGAGATTGATGGACCCATCCAGGCTATCTTACTTTAGACACGCTAATACTCTGATGTGGTGCTGTACACGTAGTGCTCAAATGGCTATTGGTTAAGGGAGTCGGGACAAAATTTGACATGGCTGTTAATTGTCCTGGTTATATATTTGGTATCAATCCCATACTTGGAAATCCACCGTCCTCTCATTGTTCTTAATTTTACTGAATTTTGTCCTTTTTTTTTCTTTCTTGTCCCTATTGTCCTGTATGCAACGTCTCCGTCTAAATTCTCTGATTTTA